CAAACCGATATAAAATACATTGTAGTAACAGTTATAGATACTCCCATAAAAAAAACATTGTGGAAAGAAATATTTACTTTTATTACTGAAGATGACTTAGGCGTAGTCGTCGAAAGTCGAAACGTAGAAATGATTGAATGTTTTGTTTACTTTGTATCTACTTTCTACAAAGTTTTAATTGTTTATGTATTTTATACTGAGTAAGCATACAGCAAAGTATAACATATCACTGTCAGTGTTAAACTCTAACTATTGTTTCTTTAATAATAAAATACGCAAAGGTCAATTTTGCAAGATAATTTTTAACTACCATCAAAAATGTGCTTTGTCATACCTGTTACATGCCAGTAAGTAGCAAGAAACGCAGGCGCAGCAGCTTAGAATTACGTATAATAGTAAGTATTACTTTTTTTGACAGAACTTTGGGATTACCTATCACTCTATAAACTTACATTGTAAGATAAACTGATTTGAAGGAAAGCAAGGAAAATTCGTACTCGTTATCGTACCGCACATTTTTCTAATATCGAATTATCTAAGTTGATGGTCTTAGTTATAAATATTATGCTTATGTGAATAATGCAATAGTTTAGCACCTGATTTTCACCTGATTTTTACCAGACTTTTACCTGTTTTTTACCTGGGTTTTTTTTTTGTTTTAATTTGCAATTGGGGGAGTGTTACACCCTCACACCCTCCGATATCGAAGTCCCTGTGTGTTTCTGTGAGTGCATTAATAGTTTTCAGAAATTAAAAATTGACAAAGTAATGTATTAGATAGTAATACATATAACGATGAAATCGATGAAAGTCCAGTCATGATCTTTATGACATATTAGCAACAATTGAAATTGTAATATCAATGTGTCCCGTTAGATATCTTGGGCGAAGGTTGTATTGAAACTACGACTTAAGGAAAAATTTGAAAAAGTATAAAGCCTTTTCTCCTCTTTTCTTTAACTTCTCGAGCTCATTTCGGCAGATAGCTTTATGAAATTTCAACCCCCTCAAGCATGCATGGGCTCTAAGTGAATAAATCTGCAACCATGTCCTCCACATAAAGTTTTGAAATGCTGAAAAACATCTTTGACATTAAAATTTTTAATGCTTTTTTAAAGCATAGTTAATTCTGCTTAGCAAATAATTTCCGGCAGTAGGTAAATCGTGATAAATTCGAAATACCAGTGTCAATAGACACGATTCATTAACCACTAGCGTCAAACGATTTCTGAAACAAACTGGGAAAAGTTCCTCCTTTAATGCAAACCAAATGTGATGTCTATCTAGAGAAATATGGTCCTTTGCTTATCCATCAATTGACACAACATGAAAGTCGATAGCCAGTGGCGTAGCTAGCGGTCTGGCTGGTCGGGCCCAGCCCGACCAAATATTTTCCCAAAAATGAAAAATTTGTTTTCTTTAAAATTGGATTTGCGAAAATTTTAAATTCTGCGACTCTTTGGGGAATAATCCACAGTCTATTAGTGTAATATTTGTCAAATTGCGTCGTTAATAGCAAAATTATCATATTTTTAAACGTTACTTAGCAACAATGACTAGTGCATTTCTAGTGCCAGGCATTACGCAGTTTAGTCGGGCTCTGAAAATTCAGCCCGACCAAGTAGTAAAATCTATAGTGGGATTATCTGCAATCTGATTGGTTGACAGCAACCGAGCAAACTCAAATGCGCTGTTTCGCAACATCTAGTCGGACTCTGAAAATTCAGCCCGACCAAGTAGTAAAATCTATAGTGGGAATATCTGTAATCTGATTGGTTGAGAGTAGCTGTGAACACACTCAAACGTTTAACAACATCTAGTCGGGCTCATTTTCAAAAGCGTGACTTGAATTTTGAGCTTTCGAAATACACGTTCGGAAATCGTGATAACTTACATTACAATGGCTTCGTCTAATGAAATCGATATAATAAGTGAACTACAAAAGAAACCATTTTCTGTTCAAAAATCAGGCGAGCAAAATATACTCGTAAAGCAGCGGCCAATTCCAAATTTACAAGCGACTACAGGCAATAGAAGCTTTCAGGAAAGTTGGTACTCGAAGAAAGATTGGCTTTGTGGTAGCTCAGAAAAGAATGCATTGTTCTGTTGGCCTTGTCTTTTGTTTTGCCCTGGATCGTCATCTTCATGGACGCAGACGGGATTCAAAAACATGAAGAATTTCCTATCCGATTGTAAGAAGCATGAGAAGGCAAAATCGCACATGGGTGATTACAAGACGTGGAAGACCTACGGTTTTCAGCCAGGCTTACAACCATAGTGGCGCCTCGTGAGCCCGACCAAATGTTTTTCGCTAGCTACGCCACTGTCGATAGCCATGATCTGAGAGTACATTTCTTCTATTGTACTGCATTTTCTAATCAAATCTCAACATCTAAAATGTGACGTACTATTAATGAGTTGTAAGGGCATCAAAATTTAGTGCTTTAGCTTGCAAAGTCTAGGGTATATGCTGATGTCCCTTTGTCTAAGTTGAAACTTCTATTCATGTATTTTATCAAAATCTGGTGTTAATGCTTAAATCTTGAATTTATGTGGAAGTCTTGCGTTTTAGCTATGTTAAAGTGTCGTATTTTTTGTTGAAGTCTCTCGTGTTTTATGTTGAGATCTTGTCTTTTATGTTGAAGTCTTGTGTTTTATGTTGATATCTTGTGTTTTATGTTGAAGTCTTGTGTTTTATGTTGATATATTGTGCTTTATGTTGAAGTCTTGTGTTTTATGTTGATATCTTGTGTTTTATGTTGAAGTCTTGTGTTTTATGTTGATATCTTGTGTTTTATGTTGAAGTCTTGTGTTTTATGTTGATATATTGTGCTTTATGTTGAAGTCTTGTGTTTTATGTTGATATCTTGTGTTTTATGTTGAAGTCTTGTGTTTTATGTTGATATCTTGTGTTTTATGTTGAAGTCTTGTGTTTTATGTTGATATCTTGTGTTTTATGTTGAAGTCTTGTGTTTTATGTTGATATCTTGTGTTTTATGTTGAAGTCTTGTGTTTTATGTTGAAGTCTTGTGTTTTATGTTGATATCTTGTGTTTTATGTTGAAGTCTTGTGTTTTATGTTGATATCTTGTGTTTTATGTTGAAGTCTTGTGTTTTATGTTGAAGTCTTGTGTTTTATGTTGATATCTTGTGTTTTATGTTGAAGTCTTGTGTTTTATGTTGATATCTTGTGCTTTATGTTGAAGTCTTGTGTTTTATGTTGATATCTTGTGTTTTATGTTGAAGTCTTGTGTTTAATGTTGATATCTTGTCTTTTATGTTGAAGTCTTGTGTTTTATATTGATATCTTGTGTTTTATGTTGAAGTCTTGTGTTTTATGTTGATATCTTGTGCTTTATGTTGAAGTCTTGTGTTTTATGTTGATATCTTGTGTTTTATGTTGAAGTCTTGTGTTTTATGTTGAAGTGTTTTATTTGTTTATTAAGAACTGCACCTGTAAAAGTCGAAGTCTTCACTCATTGATTTTAATGTTCAGGTTGAATACATAGATTGTAATATCTTGGTTTGAAGACTGTGCTCAAACTCATAAGCTTGAATCAAATGCTTACTATCATGTAAAATTGACGATAGTATGATGTTAATCTTTTATTCAAAATGCAGAATTAAAACCTTAAAAAGCCACTTTCCTTTACCGCTTGAAACAACAGCACCCACGCGCATGAATGCATGCAGAGTAGCAAAAAACGTTTGGCTTGTTGTAGCTATAGTATAGAGAGCTTTCACGTAATCAATTACGTAATTTCCTTATTTGGAAAGAATGCTTGGGAATATCTTAAATATCCCTAGGAGTCTTTTAAAAAAGTTTTTAGCTACGAAGGAAATTTGTAATTTTGTTCCAAGATATTTCCCGCTAGTAAAAGTAAACCTGCCTTTGTCATAAAGTATCGGTTTTATTGCACAATGAATATTTCTTATGAAAAATTGATTAGCTACTTCGTACTGGAATAAGGTTTGTGATAATTTATCATTTTGACCGCATAAATCTGCTGTTCGAAAGACAATAATGAAAGGGAAAGGTATCCCACATTGAAAACAAACCGTAAGCTGTTATCTTTAGGGATTTTTTTAAAAAAGGCGCAAAACAATAATTATTTTCGGTAATTAAACTCCAATAGACGTAGCTAAAATTTTTGAGTTGAAATAATTCTTGTTCACGAGCTATTTAAACCACATCTAAGTTGTTGTTTTGACTATACTACGACTCCATAAAATCCTATACAATTCTAGAGTTAACAGGGGCCAAATATTTGTCGCGGCAGAAAAAATTCAATTAACTACATCGACAAAATCATCTCAACTCCCAGAAAACAACAATGCACGAATGAAAAAAAAAACAATTTGATAAAAAAGTCGAAAAACTCTTGTTATTTCTAATCCAAGTTTAAAATTGAAAATCCGAAACATCGTTAAAGTTTCAACGTGTCGCAATTTTCCGGATCCTGCCGTCAAATGGCGAGTTCGTTCAATTAAGTCAATAAGGTATGCGCAACATTAAAAGAAAATTGGAAAATAATGAGTTGTATGAAGTAAACCATAAAAAGAAAATTAACTGTATCGTTGCCTTCGCAATTTATATTTAATAGATTGGTTTATCTTTGGGAAATATGAATATCGTTTGGGCAAGCCACTTATCAAGATGGACGATCTTCAAAATAAATTGCTTCACACGTACAAAAAATGAGTTTTAAAACCTTCCAATGGACACAATTTTTCGCTGCTGAACAATCCTATTGCGGACACAAGGATTCAAATTTATTCAACGAACAATGACTTTAATTGCACAAATGTTATAGGCGATGCACAAACATATATCTTTCGGGAATGGAGCAATCATTTGATCACTTTATTAGGAACAGGTGTATTTTGGCGTTGAAAACGGTGATTGTTTGAACGCATTTTCATCAGTTATCGATTAAACGTCATCAATTTTTAAACATCTTTTCGTGGGCGCAAAGAAGCTTAAAAGAAGCCCCACTTAAACCGACGATTCATTAACAGTTGACGCAAAAACAAAGACAAAGCAATGGCTATTTCCGTACGATTAATTTTAGCCTTAGTTTGCTGCACGACAATAGAGTTTCAAAGTTTGACGGCGCTAGAGGACCGAGAAGAATTACTCAAAGCTTTCGAAGATAACGATGACGAATGGCGAACACCGCGTTTGGGCGATGAAATAATTGAACTCAAAGAAATTGTCCCTCGACGTGGAAGGGAATACCTACTTGGACCAAGACGAGGAAGAGATGAAATAAACCAAGATTACTTCGACATAGGATCTAGACGAGGAAGAGACGAAATCAGTGCACCCAGACTGGGAAAGGACGAGATCACTGGCCCAAGAAGGGGACGTGATGAAGTCACTGGTCCAAGGAGGGGACGCGACGAAAACAGTGGACCTAGACGAGGAAGGGACAAGATCAGTGGCCCAAGAAGGGGACGCAATGAAATCAGTGGTCCCAGAAGAGGAAGAGACGAAATCACAGGTCAAAGAAAGGGGCGTGACGAAACCGTTGGCCCTAGACGAGGAAGAGACGAAATCAGAGGTCCCAGACGAGGAAAAGACGAGATAACTGGTCCAAGGGGACGTGACGAAATCAAAGGACCTAGAAGAGGAAGAGACGAGATCACTGGGCCTAGACGAGGTAGAAATGAAGTTCTGCGTCCTAAACTTGGACGGGATGTAGTAAATCTTGGCCCAAGAAGAGGATAAGAATCTTAACAACAATAAAGAACGGTATATTTTTGAAGAGAAAAATCACCAAATAAAACGTGAAAAACAATCACAATAAAACGAAACACTGAAATAAAGTAAACACTGCCATGTTGAAATTTTCTATAATCGATAGTCTTATATTTTCAAATTAACCATTAATTAAGTGTAATGTTATTCTGCGAAAATTGACAATGCTCAGTAAATATGAAATTCGCTTCATTCTCTTTTTTGAATCTTATGGGAAATTCGTCGAAATAAGAATTGAAAGTCATGCATAGGTAATTTCGATTTCACAAATACATTCTAAAGAACTATACAGTTGAAAATCACACTATACTGACTTAGAGTTAACAATTCATTTGCAATATTTTTTTAGATATATGACTAAACCAATTTCGAACGCCGAATAGCTAGCCTTCGAACTTAAATAGCTATGACGACAATAAATTGTGGGCTCAAATCCCATGCTATATATAACATATTTAAAGCCTTTCAATGTGCTTACAAAAATTATGGAATGTACTAGGAGCCCAGGAAAGGCAAACATATTAATAATCGACGGCGACGGGAAAGTTTTGATTTTAGCAGACTTAAACACATTTCCGTAGTTATAAAAATAATGTTGTACATCTTCCCAAAGCAAGACATGCATAACATGCGCTGAAAGGGGGAGGTCAATATACAAATACATGTATATGACGAAGCAGACTCTCAAACACCGTGAACACTTGACACAATGCATAGAGGAACTGATTAAAACCACTGATCTCGAAATGAGACTGCATCAAGCATCTAGCACAAAAGTTGAAGACAAAAAATAAGGAGCGCCGCCATTACTAAGGGACCAACTTTCGAAAATAAGGAGCAAATATATTGTGGATTTATACGAGAATAATCAAGAATTTTCAACATGTAACTACATGAACATAACTAAGACATAAATCAGTTTATAGATATATGATCAAAATGTCGCGATTTTTGTCATCGGTGACTCTACTGTGGTATGGAAAAACTATAGAAAATAGCCAACAACTGCATGGAAATACCTAGAGTCGTTGGAATCGTAGTTCAGAAGTACAAACTGATTAAATAATCTCATTTTCGATCATAAACTGATCAATCCTTTAAAATTCTGATCAAGCCTTTTTTACGAGTGATTCGGAGTGAAACCTGTTTTAGTTTTGTTTTATACGGCCGATTATTCTTTCTGACTCGCTTTACTATCGCCACAAAGGTTGTTTTTCATCTTCTGCGTTATCTTAAAGCATAATTTGGTTTATTTATATTTGGTTGCTATATTTTGCATAGTTTTGTTTAAAAATCTTTCGATGTGTTGGTTCTTTAGTAATGGCGGCGGTGGCTTCAAATTTTGTTTCCTACAAATATTGAGATGCTTGATCCAGTCTGTTTTCGAGATCAGTGATTAAAACCAATTTCACACTATGTAGCGACAACAAAAATTCAACAATATCAACTGATAATCATGCATTGGTAATTTCGCCGAATGTTTTATTGACAGTTACAATCAAGTTAATCAAAATTGTGAGTGATCGTCAACTCTCGTCTAATAATTGCTTACCCAGTGAAAAAGTTATTTTCTAAGCAGCGAAGTAAAATGTCACATTTTGCTCAAATAATGAAGTAATTTTTGAGTAGACGGGGTTTCATGAGTGAAACTTACTAAACAGCCAAATTTGCACTGTAAACGACTAATTCAGTTGAAAGAGAAGAAGTACAGTTACAATAACACGAAATGTGAATAGTTAATCAAAGATTTTCTCCAGTGACGGCTTATTACCCTTATTACTACCCACGGCAAAAATTAAATAATAGTAGCAAATTTATGACAAGAGATGCAGTTTCCTTTATTTTTGTAGCGCTAATATAAGTAAAATGGCGACAAGAATTTCTTGAGATATCTTGTTTTACAACAGTTGCCTTTTACTCGATGTTTTTTAAATTGTCGGAAGAGCATGGTTTCTGTGGATAAGTAGCTATTTCCAACAACTGAGTTCGTTGCACAGCGTTCCACCTGATGGATTTGAAAACAGTGTTCTTATGGGTACTCTTCTTTTGAGTATAAATGTAAAAGATTAGATGCAAAGCATAAAACTTAGTTTGAATCGAGTCTATGGTGGCCCATCGCTATCATCTCTATTTTCCGTGTGTCAATATTATTTTCAGTTGTATTTTCATTTCAAAAACAAGTTTCACACGAAACTTTACTTTACAATGTAAATTTAAAATTAATTTTATTACTTAAATACGTATTTCATTTATTTTCATTCTTAAAGCGTAAATGAAATTTAAAAAGCACTTTCCTACGCGTAGCCCAGCGCTATCACCACTGATCTGATAATAGTCTGGATATAGTTTCTATAGTTAGCAAATAAGTAAAGCTAATTATATATGCAAAATTTATTTCGGGGTACCACAGGAGATAGAAACAAATGGCAAACTTAGTTTTCGAGTCTTTAAGGCATTTCACGACCTTTTACTAAACTCAAATGGATAAAACAAGTTTTGTAAAGCAATTTGACATCGAAAAGATCTCATTGTTGCCAAGGCAAGATAATTCAAAGCTCGCTTTCCAAGTTCAGCGGCAGTTATGATCTAGAATAAGTTTCAATGCTAGCAAAATGTGGTAAGTACCTTTATTTTATCATTCTTTATGCTCTAGAGATTGCTGTATGTTTTTTTTGCTGTGACTTTATGAGCCAGTGAGCTAGGTACTATTGATGTAGGAATAAGACAAATTCACAAAGTTTTTTTCCTTACTTTTTTGTTAGTTTTAATTCATAAAGATAATTTAATCACCACGCTTTGCTATGGCATTTGGATATGGCCTTCATCAATGAGTAAGTACGGTTGTTATTGACAAAAGTATCTAACATATGTATCAATTGCAGTCTATGCAACTAATACTGCAGTACTAATACTGCAGTATTAATACTGCAGTACTGCAATATGATTGCAACTCCATAAATGGCTCATTATACTGCCGAATGCTACAAAACAAAACATTACTTGTTAAGAAGTTGTTTGTTCAAAAAATTACAAAAGTGGATTTGCTTTCCTGTTTTTAAAAGACAGGAGTATTTCCTTTCAAACCAACATCTATTGTTTAATCAGTATGCAATAAAACAGAAAGGTGTTTATAACTTCTAATGACAGTTGGCTACAAAGGATTACAATTCCTGATGCTACAGCTTTGCATAGACTACAATTCATACATATGCTGGATACTTTTGTCAATAACAATTATACGGCATTCTTACTCATTGATGAAGGCCATATCCAATAGCCATAGCAAAGCGTGGTGATTAAATTATCTTTATAAAATAAACTAACAAAAAAGTAAGGAAAAAAGCTTTGTGAATTTGTCTTATTCTTACATCAATAGTACCTAGCTCACGGGCTCATAAAGTCACAGCAAAAAAAACATACCTCAATCTCTAAAGCGTAAAGAATGATAAAATAAAGGTACTTACCACATTTTGCTAGCATTGAAACTTATTCTAGATCATAACTGCCTCTGAACTTGGAAAGCGAGCTGTGAATTATCTTGCCTTGGCAACAATCGGGCCTATTCTTCGTATTCTTGCACAGAAAATTTTCAAATTAGCACGAACGCCGATATTATACAGCTATTGAGATCATTTTGATGTCAAATTGTTTTGCAAAACTTGTTTTATCCATTACGGATATTTGAGATTAGTAAAAGGTCGTGAAATGCCTTAAATACTCGAAAACCAAGTTTGTCATTTGTTTCTATCTCCTGTGGTACCCCAAATGAATTTTGCATATATAATTAGGCTTCACTTATTTGCTAACTATAGAAACTATATCCAGACTATTATCAGATCAGTGGTGATAGCGCCGGGCCACGCGTAGGAAAGTGCTTTTTAAATTTCTTTACGCTTTTAGAATGAAAATAAATAAAATACGTATTTAAATAATAAAATTAATTTTATATTTACATTGTAAAGTAAAGTTTCATGTGAAATTTGTTTTTGAGATGAAAATACAACTGAAAATAATATTGACACACGGAAAATAGTGATGATAGCGATGGGCAACCATAGTAAACACGTTTTATTCCAAAGCCATCATCAGAGAATATATATAATATATTAATCCTAACACGGTTTTTAATACAGGTGCACGAAACACGGTGCCATCCAATAAACTGCTATAGTGGCGAGAATATTTCGTCCATACGCAGTTTAAAAGAGATTTGACTCGTCCCTAGGTAGAGCTCAGCAGGTAGAGCGGCGGACTACTATCCCGAAGGTGCGAGTTCAAATCTTGTCCAAGACACATGTTTTTCATGTGCATATCAAAAACTGTGTTAGGATTAATATATTATAGTAAACACGTGATGTCGCAAAAATTGATAATGAAGGAAATGTGCTTCTTCGAAATTAATTTAAGATGATAGGGCGATTAATTAAATTTTAAATCTATGTTTTCCGTTGACGTAAAAATGATTTTGTCCACACTAAATATCGTCAAAGAAAACAAAGGTGAGCATTTTATAGATGTAGCTTAGCTTCAAAGCATTGAAGGAAATTGGAGTTAACAAAACAAACAAAATTAAAAACTTCATGACGTTACTTAAAATTCTTAAGATAATAGCTACAAAACGATTTATCAAAAACTGCAAAGAAAAATCAATTATTTTTTGAAATGAATGACAGAAAGTCGCATTTGCACAAATATCGATTTATTTATGAATAAATGTATTTCAAGCATTACGATAAACTTATCATGCAGTGAATCCATACACAAAAATTTAATGTGGCAAGATCGTAAACATCTCCTCGGGCTGTCAAGATAATATAAAATAAAGTCAATTTGTTCCTTCCAAAGTACTTCAGAGAGTAAGCTAACCTAGTTGTCTGAGATAATAAAAATACTTAATAAAAGATGAAAGAATTTAAAGTTAGTCTGTTCTTTCTAAAGCAGTGTGAAGGGTACGTTAACGTCGTTATCTGACATCATAGAAATTCTTGATGCCAAGATAGTTAAAATTCAAAGAAATCTGTCCCATGCCAAGTACTTTAGAGAGCAGGGTAATCTTTTTGTCTGAGATCATATAAGGACTTGATATCAAGATAATACAATTTGAAGTCAGTTTGTTCCTTCCAAATTAGTGCAGAGAGTAAGGTAAACTTGTTGTCTGAGATCATATAAATTCTTCATATCAAAATAGAAAAACTCAAAGAAATCTGTCCATTTCAAAGTCGTTTAAAGAGCAGGGTAACCTTGTCTGAAATCATATAAAAACTTGATATCATGATTGATAATAGAAATTATAGTAAATTTGTTTCTTCCAAATTTTTTCAAAGAGTGAGTAAAAGTCGACGTAATAGACATATTATAGAAAACTTGCACGTTCCTACATAATTCAGAGAGTGAGATAACGTATAGTTTTCTGATATGATATGAAAAACATAATGTTGTAAAACTAGAAATTAAAGGAATTCGAATTTAAAGTACTATATAAGCACTTTGTATGAAGATATATGTTAAAATTTGAAGAAAGTAACGTATCCTTGTGTTGTCTGCATGGGACTACATATGAATTTGATGTCAAGACAATAGAAAGTCGTGTAAACAAGCTCCTTCCAAAGTAGTTCAGAGTTTAACGTAAATCGCGAGTTTATAGATAAGTACGAAAAATTTTCACCTTTTTGAAGTTCAAAGAGTGATATATACTTCTTGTCTGAGATGACTTGATGTCGCAAAATAGAAGATCAGGAATTTTTTTGAGTGTGGTTGCATGTGGTGGGGTAATAAATCAAAATACAAAACCTTCCTCCCGGAAGAGTAAAACTGATTTTGGTAAATTTTACTTTATCGAAAAAGAAAGGGAAAGTTAACATTTTACATGCAGCATTAAGATTCAGAGAGCTTTGACTTAACTAAACAAAAAAACAACTAAAATATTTATGAATTTTTTTAAAATTGTTACGATAACGCAAAACGATCTATGAGAAACTGCAAATAAACCTCAATGTTTTTTGAAATGGATGTCAGAAAACCGCATTGCATGGGTTTATGAATGAGAAAGATCTACAGGTCAACATATTTATGAATGAAATATATGTTCAGCATTATTATGAGCTTGTCATGGTCTGAATCCATACACAAAAATCTCATAAGATTATTAATATCTCTTCGATAAGATTTTAACAGCTGCTCGCAGAGTGCACTTAATACTCGAGCATGCGCACTTCAATCAAAAACTTGAAAAACAATGTTGCACACATTGTAAATCAAGTTTGAAAAACGACACGACGGCGTACGTGAAAGATTTTGTGTACTTTAGCAATTTGTCAATTTCGATCACTTTTAACTTGTAATAAAAGATTAATACAATTTAAAGTTTATCACCAGCTATTTGAATTATCGCTTATGTAACATACAAAAACCATAGACAAAACGATCGCATCTGAGCCGCTGCTAAAAGTCGTTAGTCAACAGCGGCATTGTACATGCACTGTGCCTTTAATAGCTTATTTAATTTATGCATGCAAAGTGAAAGTTATTTGATTTCTTGTAATCTGATTGGCTGCGGCAGCGAGCAGCGAGCAGCGGGCAACTAGCTAAAATATCTTGATAGTGGTCCAAAAGTGTTATTTTTTGCAGTATAAGTCATGCTTACGAAGTGAAATTAAAATTTTTAAAATTTATTTATGAGACATTAAAATGGAGAAAGCAAAATGTACTTAGATTGCAGTTATCATGTACAAGTGAACTTTGAAGAAATCAATCCAATTTCAACTAGACAAATCGGCCATTATACAGCCGCAAATTTCTCCGTTATAAAAATAAAAATGAAATCGCTATTCACGGTTGAAGGCCTGTACGTACAGAAAAAATATTATCTATTTGTCTTAAAACTGTCGCTCGCTCGGCCTTCGGCCTCGAGAGTTTTTCAAAGACTTCAAATTGCACTTGTCCTTCGGATTCAAGCAATTTCTATAGTCTTTGAAAAACCTAGCCTATAAAAATTCGTCAAATAAGCGATATTCCACAAAAACATACATCACGCGATTTAAACTTGAGACTGCGTGCGTCCATAGTTATGAATAATTAAGCATTGCATAATCGCATAAAATGTCAAAATGATCAAACTTCAAAACTTTGTTTACACCGAAATACCGCTGAAAATTAAGTTCCCGTGTTCCAAAATGCCTAATTAAGCACTATCAAAACATTTTCCCATATAATTCTATTATTAATCATTATAAATTAAGCAGATAGCTAAAGCTTCAAAGGTTTGAAACACATACATTGGCAAGAAAGAGAAATTTTATGGTTTTTAAAATGTTGTGCATAAATTGGGAAAAAAACAAAATTATATGCTGTTTACCAAAACATAGCTACAAAACATAGCTACATCACGTAGCCAATTTCCCTCGATTTTGAATTATTCTTAAGAACTTTATCAGCTGCTATTATTTTAAATGAAGAAAAACAAAGTTGAGATAAAAGAAATTCGGAGCAAATTAAAAGTTTTTAAAATGGACAAAGTGCGAATTTACTAAAAACACTTAATAAGAAATACTACTTTTTTTGGCATTAGGATGAAAAAAATGTATAGCTTCTAGGAGACATCGTTCTTAGTAGGGTTTTTTATAAATGCAACTTAAAGAACTCAAGAACTCAAATGTATACGAAAGTTAAAAAAAAAGATAAAACGAGATGTGTTTTCGCCAAGTCAAACATACATGCAGTTTACATGCATGGAGGCCTTAAAAGTGCATTAGGTAGGCATACAGTGAGTGCAAAGCAGGTTGGTCATTCAAAAATCCTATAGTTTGACTATCTCTCACAACGGTAACTACAACGATTCGCTCATGCTGCTTCGCCTCGCTAAAGCATTTCTTTATGTATTAGATTAAATTCACTCAAAAGTTTGGCTCTTTTTTATCAAAATAGCCATGTGTTCACAATGAAAACTTTGCATTGTCTGTTTTCTTGTTTTGTTTATTGACATAGCTAATACATTTGACATTATCGTTTTAATGCCTTTTATAAAGCCATTAAGTTATAGTTTGTGATTAGCAGGGGTGAAACTAGAACGCTAATTCGAACGCCGGAAGGAGAGGTAATTTTATATATTCAGCTCAACCTGCTGATCTCTTTCGAAATTATAATTGCTTTCAAAACAATTTAGAAACACTTATAGCTCATGGTGCTAAGATATCCTAATCCATAAAGCTAGAGCCAGAAGTTTCTCTCGACTCTGACTTGTTTCGACATGGGTAGGCGATCGCTAAATTTCAAAGCGTTTCTTTAAAACGCATTCACAAACACGTCTTTCGCAAAGTACTTCAAGCATAGACATTTTCAATCTCAAAATTTACAACCCAGTCTTCACCTTTATCCTTGAATCGTGCACATTAGAGAGATTTTCTCTTACTTGATAAGTGTTGGAGGATTCATTTTCAAACTAATCATTCGCAGTAATATCTACAAGAAAATTGATATAGCAAAGCTAAAATGAAAAAGTTGGCAGACCATCGAGATGTTCAGTAAGATAGCCAAGTTGTGTGTAAAAGTAACAGGGTTTACACAACTCAGTTGATCTCTTAAGCCAGGTTTTCACGTGTAAAATAACCGTAAGAGCAAGCAAAGACATAAGAATATACAAAATAATGCAAAAGAGCGCTTGACACAATCATCGACATCAGCATCAGGACAAGCACAACAACTTGACACAAGCGTAAGTTGAAAGAAAAGCAAATTTAAAAGACATTGATAATCTCTTTTGTTTCTGCTTCCTCCAACCTCTAGAGAATACATTTTGATTGGTTTTATCGCTTGTGATTATGTCGTTAATACAACGACTTGAGTACCTTAAAATAAGCACAACTGATTCTACTTCATTAAGCAATCAACGCTTATATTTGACTGGCATAATAAATAGATTTAAAAGAATAAGGAAAGGCGCAAAAAGTTGTAAACCACGAATAGCAAAAGAATTGGAAATTGAACTTGTGAACTGTAATTTAAACTGGAATTAACCGCAATACTATTGGAATAAAGTAAATGATTTGTTATAAACAATTTACTTTATTACAATAGTACTATATTATAAACTTTTTTTAAGCCCGCTAAAATGCATTACATCTGAATTTTCGCTTAATTAGCAGAATGCGTGCTACAAAATACATCTTAGTAACTTGTGCTTCTGTATTTTATGTAAATCGTTGGTAATTCTATCAAATAATATCAAGGAGCTTCTGAAAACGAAGAAAAACTAATTTTAGAGTTGACTTCAAAGATGGCGCAAAGGTTAAGTTCCAGTTCAAATACGGTTCAATAGTGAACCCACGTTGTAACCGGAACATCTTCGGTTATTGTCGGTTATTGTATTCCGCGGTACCTTCGATCAAATTTAGGTAAACGAAGTTCTCCCAAACTCAATCCTCAATCGCACGATATTCGTTAACGGGCCTACTGGTCAGCGGACATAAAGACATGGTCATATTGGACGACCCAATAACTGAACCTACCTTAGAATAGTAGGATTCTCTTTTCGACAGGTTTTCTACAAATAGGGCACTCTTGCATACGGTCACCACACAGCTGACACGTGCCATGACCACAAAGGAACACTAGGTTTTTCCGTTTGTCCAGACAAACGGGACATCGTGTCTAGGGGAAGACAAGGAAAAAATGTTGCTCTGAATCTTTTTATCATTTTCCAGCACGTTGATTTTCAGCTAGTTTTGTGCTAGCAATATTTTTCAACTAACTTATCGAGCAATGTCTACATACAGGGTGTCTCTCTATTTGTACGAAAGAAAGGGCTTTAAGGTATATTTGTTGAATATCAAACGTACCTGTTCTTTGATTTCTTGTAGTTGTTGCTTCAATGATCCAATATCATGTTGAGTCAATTCTCTCTTGGGAGAACAGGTCGTACTTGGATCTATTGCGTGTAAAGTAGATGGTATGACACAATAATTGCTTCAAACAAATCAGGCATTACTCAAGTGCTTATCGTAATCCAAACTGTACATAGAAATAGGCACGGTGTCTCCAAAAAACGGAACACATAGATTTATGGATGTGAACATTGGTGCAATGCATTGATACGCCTTATTCCATTTCCATGGCAGACGGCGGCGGGTGGCCTACATGGAACTAGTTTGCGTTTCATCAAACTAATGTTACATTTATGCAGCAAGCTAATGTAATATGCATGCATTAATCTTTCTGTTTCTACTACATCTTTTCAAATCTTTTACTGATATGGTCAAAAAAGGTCAAAAAAACCAATCGACTTCAGGAATTTATGTAAATTATTGAGTAAACTGTCAAATTACGAAAAATTTTAGACGTCTTATCTGAGCAAATGTGTCAAATTTAAAACCAAACCTAACAATTCGAACGAATAATGTTTTTATTGATATTGTTCAAAAACGTGTATATTTATTTGTATATATAAATATATATACATAAAAGATAAAAGTTTCTCCGGATTTTAAGTGAATTTTTATGAGCTTTCGACTCGTTGCTTCGAGCCTTTCTTTAGTTGTGAGTATATGATATAAAAAAAAAGGACAAAAAAACTACAAACAACACCAAAACTAAAACACTACACTCTAATATTATTAACACCAATCATATTCACAATACACCAAAACCCATGGCAACGCATTTCACCCCATCCAATCACATTAATCCACCCACTAATCCAATTAGACGCTCTAAACGTCTCCAAGCTAAAAGCACGTGTAAATAAATATCCTCATTCTGATGAAGGCTCGAAGCAACGAGTCGAAAGCTCAATAAAAATCACTTAAAATCCGGAGAAACTTTTATCTTTTATGTATTAAATGCCTGGATTACAAATTTTCAAACTTATAAATATATATATATGTAAAAAACCAATAAAGAGTAAATTTTTAACAGAACTTTACTCATTTTCCCAGCGAAATGAAGAAAAAGTTCTCGGCTATTTAAATCGGACCGAGGTTTTAGGATTTCTAGAAAACATTTTGCGCTTGATGCATGAAACAAATATTTTTGATGAAATTGAAAAATGTGACTATTGGGAAAGAAAAGGATAAATATGGATAATGTATTCGTTGGTACATACCTCTACCACCGCAACACACAATGAATGGAATCTTTTTCTGAATGACCTCACGACATTGAATACATTTCTTCATTAACGCTGCACAACCTTAAAACGAATGTGGCTTTTACTCACACAAGTTAACCACGTGGTAATTTAAAGTGCACCTGTCAGCAAAATTTTATTTTCGATATTAAATTTATGTGGAATTTCTAACACATAAATAAAAAACTCTTAATTTTGTCTAATCAATCCATTTTATCGGGGTTTATAGTTGCCTTGTCCGTCGTAGAATGGAGTCTGAGTCTAACCAAACACTGACGTCACTCAAGGTATATATACTTTGCATTGACGATCCCTTGCATGACGTCACAAGTGTAGTTCGTTCCTGACTTTTTTGACGACGGAGAAGGTCCATCAAATAATCATTTTTGCAAACGTAAAATAACTATAAAAATGAGGCGATGTGGAATAAATTAAAAACTTTTTCACTGAATAAATTTTTGATGACAGGAGCACTTTAAATAAATGATCGATAGTAACATAGAACTATATAATGCATGTTTTTAGATGTAGATGATCGAGTTGAGCTGAGGCAGACACTTTATGAAGTATTGGAAGAGGGGGAAGATGGGAGGTGGAGAGGTGGGAGGTAGTCGCATACAACCTGAGCATAGTAGCCCATAAAGTTATTGTAAACGATGATTGACAATTCCAAATAGTTATAAACAATATTGCTTTTTGAATACATAATAAACTCGACCCAAGCCCCCCTAACTTTAATCATTGCAATAATTTATTGAAAACAAAAAAAACTAATTGGTTACAACGTTCGAATGGGGTGAAAATATTGAAAGAAAACTTAACTTACTGCTGCAAGCAACCATATGTTGACAGGGAGAAAAAAGAACGTCTGCTTTTTGATCTGAACAAACCATACACTCTTCGATCTATGGAAGAAAATATGAGCAATAACACAGAGTAACACATGTTTTCAGCCTTGGTGCTTCCACCAAGAAGGACTTTAGAAAAAAGTGTTCAATAAGCCCAATGAACATAAACGGCATTGATTATGTCAACAATCAACATGTCATCAATTTTGCAACTATGGGCAAATGCAATTTTGATTATTGATGTTGATTGATCATTTTTTGCTATTTAATTTCTCCTTGAGCCAAGCTATTCACTTTTCGATGGATAGCTTAATCAAGACTATGCGCAGCTGGCCCTTTATTAATATGTTTATTGCCTTGAATGAGCCCCCACCACACAGAATTCATACAAATTTTAAGAGATAGGTGGGTGAATGCTAATTTGCAGAATAAAAAAATGCACGCTCCAGCCAACAAAGCATACCCCGGCTTTCAACGGGCTTACCCTAATGTGGAAACTTTAAAGAAGTATTTAAGATAAGAAAATTACCTTTGTTTTTGACTGCACCGGTTCTTTACACAACAGGCACTTCTTTACACGTGCAGAGCAAGTAAAGCATGTAGTCACGTGACCACATGGTCCATATAACGTATCCCGAGGTGCATCAGAACAGACCATGCACTCGTCGTATTTCTCATCATCCATGACTTCTTTCTGCGCAGGCGCATTACCGGCAGATAGTTGGTTATTTGGTACTTGAACCCTGGAAAAGAAACGGGTATAGGGAGATTGAGGAATTTTAACAGAAACAGAGATTTCAAAAAATCAGACTGCTTGGATTGCGAAAAAACATGTTTAACTTCTTATTAAAGACTTATAAGAGAATGTATAAGATAAACTGGTTTAACGCACATGAAAGGCATTATTATTTGTCCTTCATTTATCTTTGCGTTCAATTTTTATGATTACATCAAACTCTGCTGTATAGGAAGGTTTCATCTAGTCCTGGTTGAACACAAATGAAGGACAGATAGACTAAAAAATATCTTTATTATTTCATTCTTTGTCCTTCACTTGTTTTGTTTTTTTTTGTTTAACTTTCTTGTGGCTAAACTACTTCATTTATCCCAAACTTATTTATGAAAAAATCAACCAGCACAAGTTATTGAAAACTTACTCATTTTTTTGTCGATTACAGTTCGTCAACGCTCGACAGAGGTTCGGATCCGGGCAAAGATCAAGCGGACTTTGTCCTTTCTTATTCTTGAAGTTTAAATCGGCGCCATTTGCGGCAAGAAACATAGATATCGAGGCGCTACTTCTCTTACCACCACCGTGGCTTCCAAGACCCATCAACAGCTAAATATTCAATCGTTACTTAGAAACACATGAAACAAGACGCCAGTCAGGCGTTTACTCTGGCTACACAAGAACACTGTTTGGTTTTATTTGCGAATTATAGTTTCCAAACAACACAACGAAATAAATTACCGAAGCTCTCATTTTTCAGCATGTTTACAAACATGTTTGCACTTCCATATACATCTTAAGGGCATCTTTACTGGCAAAATTATATTCGTTAGAAAGACATATCTCATGATTTTAAAGATATTTCAAATTTAAAATTTAGTAGCTGCTGTAATTTATTTTGACCCAAACAAGGATCCACTACTTCTTGAAATCATTAAAGGATCATAGTCAACCACAATGTAACGCGCACTTAAATGATCTTTGCGGTTATTTTCTTGTTTGAATAAATAGACAAACGATGTAACATTCTGTAATTCGTAGATATTCTATGCATCTTTTGGGAATATATAAAAATTTTTGTCGTTTTTTGATGAAAAAAGTATTTTCACATCCAAAAAAGTATAAAGCTTTTTATGGATTTTTTTCATAAACGTACCTGTTGGTATTCAAATAAATACTTGGTGTTTGGAATCAGACATGTGTGCATTACATAAAACGCTACAGCATATCTTCATGATTTAGGGGCTTCATGGTGGTTTCAACCCAATGTGTAAGTATGAATTGAGCTGCATTAGCTATCAGGAGGGAGAGAATGATAAAAATAAATTTTCAAGCGAAAGTTTTTCATCCAAATTTTCCTTTTGAAATCCATGTTTTTGACAACAGTTCCCAGGCCCCTTTTCCCCTCCATGTAATACTAGGGAGCTTTAGCAAGAGTCCGACTACGAGAACGAGTACAAAGTTTGACCGTGTAAGGGAATGGCGCGAGGAAGTTTGTTGTCGTTGTCGCTTCGTCAAAATTTAGTTTTAGCTATAAACAACAGAACGAGCCTTTTTATTGTGAAAACCACCGACGTTTGCTAAGCAGCTACGGCTCCATTTGTCAATAATGATATCAACTAATCGGTAATACTGATTTTGCGAGAACATAGGACTCTTTAGAGTAAAAATCTTCACTATTTTAAATTTGATGTACGATATATTTATTCTATTTTATTGTTTATTTACATTTTGCGTACGAAAAACATGAAAGTTATCAAGGTCATATTTCCATTTAAATGTACATATGCGCTCAAAAAAGGTTCTAAAGTAAAGCCTGGATGCTCGAAAATAGTACTGTAAACTAATTTCTTACACAATGAAAAATATACCAACTTTCTATGCTTAAAAAGACATCGCAGTCGCAACTACGACTTTTTACAAAACATCGTCCTCAGATTGATGACGGCGACATGTTGTTGTCAAAACGATATTTTCGCGTCAAAATGACGTAATTCGTACTCGTAGCGTACTCGTAGTCTTTGCTAAAGCACTCTATTGAGTTCTATAAGACCTGGAGGGAACATGTCAACCAAATTACTATAAATTATTAGCGCGCAGCCCGTGGTCAAAAACAGGGCGGATTTTGGTTGTCCAAGTCAGCGGAAAGACCCGGGCTCGTAAAATAAATTTTTTTTCGCCCACCCGGATATGACAACCAAAATTGCGATTATATTGCTCGATCAAAGTTTGTAATCTGCACAAAACAAACTACATCATATTTTATCTCAACTAATCACGAGAGAAATGTTAGCTCATTTATTCTCATTAGTTTTTTGCTTTCTTTCATGTGATGGCCTTTTTCGCAACAATTGTGGGATTTGTTTTTGTACGTTTTGTCGCGTTTCGTAAATGAATAATGAAAAAAACTATTGTATACAAATCATGAGAACCTTTGAGATTTTGTGGTCTTCTAAACAAGAACTGCATCAAATACTCGTCAAGTTTTAGTATATTTCATTTCGTAGTAATGATTGTGAAATGGCAAAAATGCAAATAATTAAAATACTTAAATTACAATAGTGTTTATAATATTTGAATACATGAATACACAATTGTGAATTTAATACTTCCCTTCTTTTTCTCTTTTTTATGTGTTTCTTATTAGACATGTCAGTTCAAAATTTGATTGACTAATAAAGCTTTCACCTCAATAATAAATTTTACACCCATATTTAATACCAGTTGCTATGGGATTTTTCCCTCTAAGTATGCAAAATCTGGTGTATTTTATACAAGATGAAGTGCATTTGACGTAAGAACCATCATCATAATGACGTAAGAGCCAGATAACAAATACGGCTAACCTGACGATGAAGATGACGATGAAGATGACGATGAAGATGAAGAAGAAGAAGAAGAAGAAGAAGAAGGTTGTCGAAACGTCAGTAGACAAGAAAAACAGTCCTTCTCAGGACTTTTCCAACATGGACGATCTACATTTACAAACATGAAACAATCTTACGTTGTTTACCGGCCTCATGAAATGTTTCCTTTTCTGGCAGTACTTCAGCATCCGTATACCACACAAGTTTGCAGGATGTTTTATAGATAAAAGTGTTTGTGGTTTGAATATGCCTTTCAATATTTGCATTGGTATTTTATATAATCGCAATCGTTGCCAAATCCGGGTGGGCGAAAAGATTTTAATTTTTGAGCCTCGTCTTTCCGCTGACTTTGACAACCAAAATCCGCCATGTTTTTGACCACGTACCACCAGAGCCTTTAATCAGTAAGAGTTGGGACAAACGGTCTGAGGCGAGCGCGGAGCCGCCATTTTGGTTCCCACTTGCAAAGTGAAACTATAACAATACTATTGGAAATTGGGTTTATATGCAAAAGAAGGCAATTTAAGCTTATTCCATGGTAGTGTCAAATATATTAGGAATAATAGCAAGCTCTTTGCGTTTTTTTAACGATTTGCGGCAGACCTGATTTAATTTCATTGGTTTGAGCTTCGTTTGCGGTTTACTAGTTCGTGCTTCAAATTGATCGTGGCCCATTCTAAGAAGTATTTTTCGTACGTGAACGTGTTTTCTCGGCTTATGTTCCGACTTTGTAACAAGTTTTCAAGATCTTTAAGCTTGGTGGCAAGCGGCAATGTTATCCTGGCATCAGTGTCATCAAATAGTAGGACAAGACTTTGTTCGAAACTTCGAATCATAGTAATCATGCAGTTTTGGTCCGGAAAGATTTGTGTTCATGATTTGTAACAATTTAATGGTAGTGAGTGGTTTATGCCCCCCAATTTAATCCAAGCATGACATTTTTTATTCTGAAAGATCACAAAATTTTCTTGCTCAGCAGAAATGACAGACTTTTTTACTCTTTAGTTATTGAAATATGCAATGATTTGACCAAGATGCATTTGGCCTTAAATGTTTTATTCCTTTATATGAAGTTATTTCGCCTTTAACACTTTATAAAGTATTAAAGTCTATTTCTAATAAAGTTTGTTAAGGATTCTGCTGAAAATTTTGGTGAAGCATTTCTTTAAAATGAATATATTATTTCTATAACATGAAACATTTCTGTGGTTGAAGAACAGTCTGTTTGCTATAAATGCTACTGTTTGTAGTCTTTTATACAGAATATGAGTCTGATCCAATCTTTAATTTAGCAAAGAGTTAAATTTTTTGGTTGAGGAATGACAAAACTTCTGTATGTGTTTAATGATCAAACAGGGGGCTCAGCCCGTTTGTTCAAATTCCATGCCTTGTATTGCCAGTGAAATATATATATCAAAAAGCTAGCAGCACCTAAACATATATCAGAAAGCCAGCAATATTTTAATATATATGAGAAAGGCAGCAACAGTTGTAATATACATAAAAAAGCCCAAATAGCTGAAATTATGGAGTTATGCCTCTGTGATCTTATAAACCAAAACCTACAGTTAAAATATCATCAACAAGTCTGGAAGAAGTAATGTTCTACTTTAAGCTACAGAAGTAGGGTACATTTGTACAACTCATTACCAAAAATATACTGTACTCAGCCGTTTCCGTAAATATCCTAATTATAATTACTTCATTTTTAAATGATAAACTAAAATACAAAATACAACATGGAAAATCATAAGAGTTTCTGTGATTTGGTGTAGTTGTTTGTTTTAGTGTGGAAGTGGCTGAGAATTGAGAGGTTGGTAGATTGACCATTTTCTGAACATAATGAGAAATCATCTTCGATTAAAAAACAAGCTTTGGAGTAAGAAAACTATTGAAACTGCATCAGCACGAACTTTGCAATGTTATTTAGCCCAAAATGTTTCTCTACTTGAGTCAGTTAATTGAACCTTATATCAAAAGCAGTTCAGTACAACAATCACCATACGCAATCAAATTTCGCAAGTTCGACGTAAAGGCATTTCTTTCACTTTTTTCGCAATCCTCGATTCTTGCGATATATAATGACATTTAGTAGCCGTCAACAATCAGTTATTACAAACTTATCCATAAAAAACGCAATATTATCTCAAAATACTGTATTACTAGCAGCAATTGCTATATAAACACTAGCTCAAATTTCAAAACTAGGAACCAAAATGGCGGAAATTGATCAGGTGATCAATATTGCCCAATCAACGTAAGCTAAACGGATAACAATAGATGTCCCAACTCTTACTAATAGAGGGCTCTGCGTACCGCCACTGACCTGTATAGTAATTACCTGGACGGGAAGCCTCATCAAAAGTATTATAGATTATTAAAGTGCAACTATGACGAAAATTTTGCCTCTCTTTTTTTTCATAGATTAATAGTGTATGTAAAAAATGCCTTCTGGCGAATTTTTATCGCAATATATTTATTGCTGCTCGAGTTACGTAGCGATAAAACTTGAAGTTTAAGAGCCGCCATATTTGAACTGTCAAGTAGGAAGGTGCTTGTGACGTCTAGTCTTAACTCGCGGCAGTTTACAATATAACACTATAGACAAATAGAGATTTAAAACGTTGTATAACTCATTTTGTTTAACATGCCTTCAACACACTGTGTCGTGCAAGATTACAGTAATAGGTCTGATAGAACTACGGGCATTTCTTTGAATAAAATCCCAAATGACGAGTCTTT